GGGCGGAACATATTTAACCCTGTCTGTACTGTGCTGGCAGAGCTCATCATCAGTTGTAAACTAGATTTGAACACTGTCTGTTCTAAAGAAGGGTTGAAGATCAGGAAGCATTGTATGTTAGGGAGAGGAAGCTCCGTCTGTCCCTAGCCTTACTACAGGGACATACAGAGTTTCCTGTCACTTGGAAATTGAGAGAGAAGCTTACAAAGGCCGCTACACGGAGATAACCAAAAGATAAGAAATATTTTGAGGTATGCTATGTGAATTGGAACACATATGGGGGGTTTTCTCAAACCTGACTGCAAATGTGGAAATACACAAAGGCTGACAGGTGCCCGGATGGGTATATCAGATAGGGAGCTTAGACTGTAAGGGCAGGGACTCATGTGAATGTGCACTGCATAAATTGTAAAGCGCTTCGTAAATTGCTGGCGCTATATAAATACCTGTAATAATATATCTGGGCAGAACTGAGGGGTGGGGGGCTGGGTTCAGGCCAGGCCTCTTGTCTGCATGGAGTTTGTATGTCCTCTGTGTGCCTGTGTGGGACTCCTCCACACCCTCCAGACATATCAGTAAGCTAATCATCTTGTTTGCTCTGTGCATTACTGTTTGCACGCAATACATAAATGAAGGAAACAAAAGTAACTATTTAATCTGAAAAATGTGACTACACCCCAAGGAAAAGCTTTACCTGCCTTTATGACCGGCAGTCAGTGACTACGCTGCAATTAAAGAGAACATATTTTTAGCGCAGTAAACAGATAATTATTACATTTTAGAGCCACAGGAGGGAAACCCCACAGGTAGGAGCGTCCGCACAGGGCCAAAGATGATTTCCGTCAGGATTCATATATTTCCTAAATTATAATGAACTCTATGAGCAGTCAGACTACAAACCAGAAGTCAATGAAATCACAGAACAGATTACCGGCCTGTGATGACCTGCATTTGACCAGCTTCAAGTGGCTTTTGCATATACCGTATTTGCCGGCGTATAAGACGGGTTTTTAGACCCAAAAACATTGGCCGAAAATCGGGGGTCGTCTTATACGCCGGGTATACTGTATGTAGCTTCGGCTACATACAGTATACCACGCTGAGCCAATCACGGCAGGCTTTGTATTAATGAATAAGGACGGAACCCAGAGGAGACATGGACAAGGTAAGAGACTGTAATCCCGAGTGTGGCTCGGGTTACTGCTTATGGTACTGAAAAGTAACCCCGAGCCACACTCGGGAATACCGCCATGGATGTTAGTGGGTGCATTTAAAGATTATTTTGGGCTATACTCGTCTTATACGACGAGTATAGCCCAAAACCTATATTTTAACACAAAAAGTAGGGGGTCGTCTTATACGCCCAGTCGCCTTATACGGCGGCAAATACTGTACTACTGGCACTACAACACCCTGAAAGTTACTGCTTATGGTACTGAAAAGTAACCCCGAGCCACACTCGGGAATACCGCCATGGATGTTAGTGGGTGCATTTAAAGATTATTTTGGGCTATACTCGTCTTATACGACGAGTATAGCCCAAAACCTATATTTTAACACAAAAAGTAGGGGGTCGTCTTATACGCCCAGTCGCCTTATACGGCGGCAAATACTGTACTACTGGCACTACAACACCCTGAAGCCCACAGACACAGGCCTTACCTGTCGCCTTCCCTTCTTTGCAATGGTAGAAGAGCCAATATGCAGTGAGAAGCTCACCTCACAGTGTGCAGAGAAATCAGAGTGAGGAGAGGAGCCGGTACAACTGTGCAAGGCTGAAGGGAAGGTCGGAGTTCAGCTTTAAAGATGCCTGAGAAGGGACTTAACACAGGAGCTAACATTCGAATCCCTGGCAGCTACACATGGACCCAACAAACGTTTGCAGTGAGAGGAGCTGCAACTACAAAATGGTGAGCTGTCGGGAGCCTAAATCCTAACTTTACTCAACTGTGTTCATACAATCCCTCTCCGCCCTACTACGCGCACACATTTAAAGCAAACCTGTCATGTCTGACGGGTGAGTAGCCCCATGTGAGATACAAATTAAAAGCGGGCACCAGGAGATGCCCACACGTAGAATTGTATATCTTCCCAAGGGCCCAGGGAAAACCCAACCATGAATAACTTAAAGTGATCCTGTCAGGTTTATAGGTCCCTGCAATAGAAGTTATTCTATTCATCTCTCTGGCATTCCGTGTCTCCCTCCTCCCCTCGACTCTAGCACTGTAGTCTCAATAAGCCTGGACACTTCCAGGAGTGTTGGATGCCCATGTCCCCCTCATGACATAGTTCCACCCTCTGACTCCAGCACTGCAGTCTCAATAAGCCTGGACACTTCCAGGGGTGTTGGATGCCCATGCCCCCCTCCTCATGGTGTAGTTCCACCCTCTGACTCTAGCACTGCAGTCTCAATAAGCCTGGACACTTCCAGGAGTGTTGGATGCCCATGTCCCTCTCCTCATGGCGTAGTTCCACCCTCTGACTCTAGCACTGCAGTCTCTGTAAGCCTGCACACTTCCAGGAGTGTTGGATGCCCATGTCCCCCTCCTCATGGCGTAGTTCCTTCCTCTGACTCCAGCACTGCAGTCTCAATAAGCCTGGACACTTCCAGGAGTGTTGGATGCCCATGTCCCCCTCCTCATGACATAGTTCATTCCTCTGACTCCTACATCTCTACAAGACTCAGCAGTAATGTAGGGATCAGAAGAAAGATCCATAGCATTCAGTGGGGAACACGGGCATCTGACAATTCTGGAAGTGTTGAATGCAGAAGAAGCTTATGGAGGCCACAGCAGTGGAACGGAGTGAACATAGGAGACACCAGAGTGATGTTTTTCTTAAGAAACTTCTGTTGCAGGGACCTTTGATCTGGATTCATTTTAAACCTGCCAGGGTTGCTTTCATGGGAATAACTTCCTTCCAGATCCAACGTCTGCTCCCTACTGCATCTCTAAATGCATTTGTTGTATCCCTTCGGGGCCGTTAACTATTGCCTATGCCATCACATAGGCAATATGCTAGTAATACGGTCGAAAGGCTTGTGTGTATGCATATGTGTGTGTGTCAGAGCTCCAACTGCAGAGCTGAATCTCTTTTAATGTCTTGACTGACACTGGGACAGAACAGGAAGTGGAGGAAATGAATGGGGACACAAGTATAAACCAGACAGAGGTTCCAGTCCTTCCTTGGTGTTTTAATACTGTCTGCATTCCCATTGCAAAGATGTCCTTACAGTTCCTATACTGTCTGACACCAGTTACTAAGAACAGGAAGTAAGGGGATATTTCCCTGGTGGGAACATAGACAGGTATAAAATCTCCATCATTCTTCTACTGATGAGGAGCACTGGACCACTTGACATGTATTTAAAAAGCTGTGAATTTTTATATTTGAGTCAACTAGCTGCTGTATTTGTCCCAAGACTTCTCTGGATGTCAAATATTCTCTGGAAAAACCTGAATGTATAATAAATGATAGAAGCACCACACCTTGTAGAAAAGTCCAGAATGATATTTTATTTAAGGATGTCAAAGAAAAGCCAACGCATTTTAGGAGTTGTAAAAGTCTCCTTCTTCAGGGCTAGAAACATATATAACCAAAAGTACAGTCAATGTCTTTCCTAATACAATGTTACATTAATATTCACAACTCTCTCTCTCTCCATATATAGTGACTATTAGAATATGGCTTTAGAAAAGACATGGACTATTGACTTGTGTTATTATATGTGTACAGACCTGAAGGAGGAGGATTTTTACAACCCCCAAAATGCGTTGGCTTTTCCTTGGCAACCAATAAACACAATATCATTCTGGAGTATTATACATGGAGTGGTGCTTCTATCCCTTAGTCTACATTCAGGAACAAAAAGCTGACAGAGGTTCTAACTTTTCCTGTCTCCAGTTAGGCATCCCCTGCAGAACTGCTTACTCAATGGTCATTCGTCCAACAAGGGCCCATGAGCATGCACATCTATAGGGATGCAGGGGATGCTTTCCCTACTATAACTGGGCATGCGTTGGTAATGTGCAGTATCGCTTTGGCTTCTGGGTTTTGACTCTGCAAAGATGCTATCAGGCTAGGTTCACACCTAGGTGACACCTCACTGCGCGGCAATCGTGCACGAATCCCAAGGTGTGCACCAATCGCGCTGTGGGTGCCATTATTTTCTCATGGTGCCGGGCAATCTTTTTTCTGCGATTGCCGCACGAATGCCACCCCATTGAAATCAATGGGGTCGCACAGCAATCGCTGCCTGCATTGCGCAGGACAGCAAGGTGTGAACCGAGCCTCAGAGTTTGTATACTGCCTCATTGTTTGGTTTTCCCTCCACTGCTTTTCTCATACAATCCAAAACAAATTAATTTGCTGAACCGGCTGCCATTTTAAATGATCCCTACTGACAGTTCTTTCTGGGGCTGGCACTGTGCAAGTGTGCATGCCTCTGTAAAGCATTGGGGAAAGTGTCCGTGCAACATAAGTGAGTAAAATAAATAATGCGGGAAATCTGCACTGACATAAACTTGAGGCTCCAACCAAGCATTCAGTGCACAGCAGGAGAAAGGAAAAGAGGAAAGGCTACATTTGTAAACCTCCTTGATGTGCATGGATTTATTAGATGAAACCTTTACTGTGAGAAATACAGACATTGCTGACCTCGTTGTGAAAATGCCAGCTGCCTGGTCAGAGTGATCCGCATACTTACTTTGAATTATGAACACAGAGTATTTAACCCCCTGGATCAGTATAAAGGCCAGGCAACTTGCATTTTCAGAAGCAGAGGAAGCTCCATATTTCCCACAGTACAGATTTCCATTAATGAAAAGTGCACTTATCATTTAATTTAGTAGGTGCGCATGTTGACAGACGTATACGAAAAGGATGTCCCAGCATGGCCACCATAAACCCCGCCCCCCACACCCCTGAGGGTCTGGCCGACTGTCTAGGGAAGCAGGTAGAGCTGCAAACAGCCATAACATGGATAATGCCATTGCTTTCAGTAAACTGAACAGGCAAATAAGATATTTGATTTGTGACAGGTCCTCTTTCATCTGGGTCGAGGATGGTCAGTGAACTAGAGGTGAAGGACAGTCAGCGCCAGGTACAATAAAACAGCTTTGTGGAGTAATTAAGGCGTCCCCCACACATCCGTCCTCAGGTGTACGCGTCTTGATTTTGAGATTTTTTCTTTTTTTTTCCAAGGTTGTCCGTAAGACCCCCAAAGGATTCCAGTGGGTCTGCCACCCCCAAAACTGCAGTGACCGTCAGCTCCGGATGTCTCCCCCCTCCCGCCCCAACTAAAATAGATGAAAAAACTCTGTTCTGGTCACTCCGGGTCACGAGAACAGTGAGGCACTTCTGAAACAAACTCATTAGGAACACTGAAAAAAAAAAAAAAAAAAAAAGAGAGAAAAATAAGAGAAAAGGAGCGCAAAACTCCTCCAAAACATCCACCCTCGGTCGTATCGCCATGTCTGCGGCTCGTGTCCCTGCGAGGAGCGTCTGCTATGGGCTGCTCATGTATACCCGGCAGTCCTCTGGCTCGCCCTTGCTGTTCCGGCAGCCCGGAGAGAGTTCTGGCTCTTCTGACCCGCCCCCTGCGCATTCCACAACCTGGTCCCTGCGTTTGGGGAAAGGGGAAAGCTTCCTGTTCGGGCTGGGATTGCTATTCAAGAAGCTGTCAGCGGCCGACTCCATCTCCTCTATCGTCATGTCGCAGGCGTCCGCCAGCTCGTGCGTAGCCACCTGTAGGAAGTGAGGGTCCTGAGCAAACTGTGTCAATCCTTCCGAGATCAGCACCTTCACCAAGGCAAGTGTTGGGGGGGGGGGGGGGGGGGGGGGGGTGTTGGAGG